AGTATCAATCTTATAATAGCTGTTTATTATGTTAAATCAACACCTGATATAACACTTGGCGAGGCTGTTATAAACACTATTTCTCAGCAACACCATACAGTGTACAATGGAGACTGATATAAACACTATTTTATTCCCTTTGTTAGTTAAACACTTACAGTTATATGTCCTACTTTTCAACAACACCATACAGTGTACAATGGAGACTGATATAAACACTATTTTATTCCCTTTGTTATTTAAACACTTACAGTTATATGACCTACTTTTCAACAACACCATACAGTGTACAATGGAGACTGATATAAACACTATTTTATTCCCTTCGTTATTTAAACACTTACAGTTATATGTCCTACTTTTCAACAACACCATACAGTGTACAATGGAGACTGTTATAAACACTATTTTATTCCCTTTGTTATTTAAACACTTACAGTTATATGTCCTACTTTTCAACAACACCATACAGTGTACAATGGAGACTGTTATAAACACTATTTTATTCCCTTTGTTAGTTAAACACTTACAGTTATATGTCCTACTTTTCAACAACACCATACAGTGTACAATGGAGACTGATATAAACACTATTTTATTCCCTTCGTTATTTAAACACTTACAGTTATATGTCCTACTTTTCAACAACACCATACAGTGTACAATGGAGACTGATATAAACACTATTTTATTCCCTTCGTTATTTAAACACTTACAGTTATATGTCCTACTTTTCAACAACACCATACAGTGTACAATGGAGACTGATATAAACACTATTTTATTCCCTTCGTTATTTAAACACTTACAGTTATATGTCCTACTTTTCAACAACACCATACAGTGTACAATGGAGACTGATATAAACACTATTTTATTCCCTTTGTTATTTAAACACTTACAGTTATATGTCCTACTTTTCAACAACACCATACAGACTAGGTAGTTGTTGGTAGTCTTGGTAGTTGGATTGGTTCAAATTGGATATATTCTGTGTTGTTGGTTGTTGATTCTTCGTTAGATCTGGTCGGGTCGAATGACATGGCGGTGAAACTCGGCCCTGGATGGTGTGGTGTGAGTTACTCGGTCTCCTTCATTCTTCCAAACTCGTTCTGATCATGGTATTTCTTGTTGATTGGTAGTTGAGTGGTACTTATCTTTTATATTTAAGACTCAAATCAACCACCCAAAATGGCATATTTCTCCCTTTTTAATTACTTTTTGTCACTTTGTTTTTGTTTAAATTGGTATTTATCAGATGAACAGTTTCAGAGTTAATGCCCTTGTTCATGTTTGAATTTGGATGATAATTGATGTAACAGTTTTTGAGGTTTTGCCTCATTATTAAGTCACCAAAGACTTTGCTATTATTTCTGACAGCTGGTAGTGGGCGTATGTTACCTTACCTGGCAAGCTTTCTTGATTATTTTTTGTCACTTTTGTATTGCCTGTCTTCATTAGCCCACATGGTGCAGAAAAGTAGGATGTAAAACTCCATTCATTTCATTTTATTTCCCTTTTAATTATTTTTTGTCACTTTTGTATTTTTCAGTATATTATTTGCTGATATTTGTGGTTTTACGTCTTTATCATCTCAATGTACGGCTCAGGAACTGGTTCAACTGTTGAACGAACTGTTCGCAAGGTTTGATCGGCTAGCGTCGGAGAATCATTGTTTACGTATCAAGATTTTAGGTGATTGTTATTATTGTGTTAGTGGATTACCGGAGCCGCGCCCAGACCACGCCCACTGCTGTATAGAGATGGGACTCGACATGATAGATGCTATCTCGTAAGTTAATTTTTTCTTAATACTTCCTAATTTTTGTACGTTTTTATACGCCCACATCATAATGTGGTCGTATATTATCGTCGCCCCTGTCTGTCGGTCCACAATTGGCTTGTGAACACTATAGAAACTACAGTTTTCAACTGATTTTAATGAAATTTGGTGTGATCATTTATATTGATGAGATCTTGGACAAGTTTGATTTGACGATTTTTCGATGAATATATTTGGAGTTATTGCCCTTGACTTAAGAAAAACGTCTCAGAATTTCTTTGTGAACACTATAGAGACTACAGTTTTTATCTGATTTTAATGAAATTTGATGTGATCAATTATATTCATGAGATCTTGGTCAAATTCGAAATTGACGATTTTTCGATGAATAGTTTTTGAGTTATTGCCCTTGACTTAAGAAAAATGCATCAACATATTTCAGGTTCTGTTTTAGTTGTCTGAAGATCACACAGTTTGAAACTCTGAGTAACAACATGTTTCAGGTTCTGTTTTAGTCGCATAGCATGAAACTCTGAATAAACAACATGTTTCAGGTTCTGTTTTGATATTTTTATGATATATTGTAGGTTGGTCCGAGATGTAACTAGTGTCAATGTAAATATGAGAGTTGGTATTCATTCTGGACGAGTTCACAGTGGGGTTCTGGGATTGAGAAAATGGCAGTTCGACGTCTGGTCTAATGACGTCACGTTAGCCAACAAAATGGAGGCTGGAGGGTTACCTGGGTAAGTTTTAAAGATTTTAAAGGATTGTAAAGAGATTTTCCAAACTAATTCATCTTCACAATGCCAAGCTATTGCTAACTTTGTCTTATACCTTGACTGTTATAGTCACCTTTCTTGTATCATTAAATGCAGCAATTTGATTGGATTGTACACTAGTGAATACAGCCAATCAGAGTCCTTGATAGAATGATAGAATGAGTGTAAACATAACAGCTTTATGTCAAGGGCTCCGATTGGCTGCAATCGCTGGCGTATTTTTTCATTGGACGAGAGTAATAAAAACAGGTTCAAGCAAGATTCCGTTAATCAAAATCTCGTCCAAAGTATGGCAAAATCCAGAGTAAAAGTTGTATAGTAGTGGACTCCTCAAAATAGAAGTACCATCAGGTGTTTCTAAAAGTGTAAACATGGTCTGCTTTGCACACGACACCTATACAAGCAAGACAATTCCATTAATCAAAATAAGATCCAAAGTATGACAAAGTCTAGAGTAAAAGTTGTATAGTAGTGGACTCCTCAAAAGAGAAGTACCATCAGGTGTTTTGAAAAGAGTAAGCTGTACCAATGTTGATATATTTTGACGTATTATTACAGACGTGTTCATATTACGAAAGAAACGTATGAATTTGTAAAAGAAGATTATGATGTAGAAGATGGAAATGGAGGACAGAGAAATATCTATCTTAGAGAACAAACTATACATACTTATTTTATTAAAGATGAAAAAACAAGACAAAAAGTAAGAAATTGGATTTTTATCTTAATTAAAGGGACAGATGCGCCAGTTTTTTAACCAATCAAACTTTAGTCTCAGAAACAGGAATTTTTTAGCTAAGATAATCAGTAATAGTGTTTACAGCTCACCATTGAAATTTGAACCTTCAAATCCATGTGTGTTCAGAATTATCTACGTTTGAAAGTTAAAATGGCAACTCGTCAATTTAAGATACTCTGTGATATATAGAAAAGACATCTATAGAAATAGTGAGTAAAATTCCTAGTTTGAGATATTTTTAAAGGAATTATGTGATTTTCGTACATTTCTAGTGAGCAGCCCTATAGAAGAATCCACTAATATCAGAATTTCTGTCTCGGCTGGAATTGACACACTCTGAGCCAATTTTCCGTCGCTTTAGCAACGCAGTAAGACCGTCTTCCCCTACATGATATAACATTTAAAATTTCTTTCAGCATAAAGTGAGCAGCCCTATAGAAGAATCCACTAATATCAGAAGTTCTGTCTCAGCTGAAAAACATTATTTAAATGGTGCCATTAGTAAAGAAATGAAGAAGATGGGGTACAATTTGGATCCAAATGCTGCTATACACAATAAGTAAGTTAGAAATTAGGGTGATTGAAGTGTAACCAGTAACTATTCAATATAAGGCACTGTCACAGGGTTAAAGTTATGTTTACAATAATTGTGATGCTAATATGAGATAGATAAGTCCATATGAGATAAAGGATCGGGTTAGTGTGCAGAGGGTTAATAAATGTGAGAAATATAAACACAACTTTTAGACCTGGCGCTGGCTAGATTAGAGATTGAAGAGTAAGTTAGAGAAAGATTTCCTCATTGTCCACTGCATGGCTTTACCCATAATTGATCTTTTCTTGGTAATCTGTCCCCATTTACAACTGGTTTGACTGAAATAATGAGGAAAGATGAATTATAAATAGACACCAGACTTTGCAACTTCGTCATTGCAAATTAAATGATGTCATGGAAAGATTCTAACACCCTAACCAACTAGGCTACAACCCTCTCTCATCCTCTATTGTTATTGTAGATTGGGTCTAGATCAGACAGAGAAAGATCCGGAAGCAGAAGTTAATGAATATTTAGGCCGTGCTATAGATGCTAGAAGTATAGAAAGATTACGTTCCGAACATGTTAAAGGATTTTTTCTTTCCTTTCGTAAAAAAGAACTCGAAGATAAGGTAGGGCTTGTATTTTTTATAACATTATTGAATTGTGAACAAAGCTTTCAGCATTTTATATAGTTTTTCAACCCAGTTTCCCCCTGTCAGTGATGTAGGTAAGAGGGGCTGACATTGAAAAAGTGTCTAGTTGTTCAGATGGGACAATAAACCGAGGCCCTGTGTTCTACAGGGTTCCATCCCAGCATATATCAAAGTAATACCTTCAGATTTTTCAACCCAGTTTCCCCCTGTCAGTGATGTAGGTAAGAGGGGCTGACATTGAAAAAGTGTCTAGTTGTTCAGATGGGACAATAAACAGAGGCCCCGCGTTCTACAGGGTTCAATCCCAGCATATATCAAGATAATACCTTCAGATTTTTCAACCCAGTTTCCCCCTGTCAGTGATGTAGGTAAGAGAGGCTGACATGGAAAAAGTGTCTAGTTGTTCAGATGGGACAATAAACCGAGGCCCTGTGTACTACAGACTGTGTACGTTAAAGATCCCTCGACAGTTGGAAATCTAAAAAAAGAGCAGGCTAATGCTGATGTCCTGGCAAAATTTCCCTTATTACACACTTCATTAGCTCAATCAGGTGCAGAAAAGCTCAGACGCCTACAACTTTGAAAAATTTCCCTCATTGCACACTGCATGGTGTTGCCTGTCTTCATTAGCCCACATGGTGCAGAAAAGTAGGATGTAAAACTCCATTCCTTTCATTTGAACCTGAAACATGTTGGTGCTGCTTTTTTGGCAAAAATTCCCTCATTGCACATTGCATGGCCTTGTCCGTCTTCATTAGCCCTAACA